GATTTTAGCATGTGCTCTTTTATATGGTAATGATATTAATTAGGGGTCTTTTGCAAGGCGGAGATCTGACACCAGTCAGCTGCGCACAATTTCAAGATCATTTGTGATTTATAAATGTCACATCTGGAAGAGAGGCGTGGGCACGTTCGTTTTCTCTGAATCGCACTTACGCACTTTTGAGAAATGATCTTAGAACAAATTTAGGTTGTTTATACGCAACGTTTTATAAATGAGGCCCCAGATCTCTGATTTGAATATTACAAATTTCTCACAAAATACATTTTTTGATGGACATCAATTCACACTTTGAAAGGTTCAAGAACAGGCCTGATGCTTTGGAGAGTTATTGGATATACTTTAGTGCTAATGGGACTTGGTTAGCATCTTGCAAAAAAGTGTGGTATCATCAGCCAGTTGACTGATGAGTATCTGTTTGTCAGCGATAGAGATACCATGAAGACCACTATTAGAAATATAAGAAGTGAATATCTGGGAAACTAGTAAAAATAAATAAGGGGATAATGGACACCCTTGCCTAATACCATGACAGGTACAAGAAAAATCTAGAAGTACCATATTTTAATTTAATTGTGCTACTACAGTTGTAATATAGAGTTCTTACTGCCTTACAAAAATATTCAACATAACCAAAATTTTCCACTGATTTAAAAATAAATTGATGTTCAACTGAATCGAAAGCTTTATAAAAATCCAGGAAAAGAATAAAACTATGTTCCAGCAAATCACTATAATCCAATAAATCTAAAACTAAAACTAATCTTATATTATTCATTATATGTCGGTCCCTCATAAATCCAAACAGAGTCTCATCTATAACGGTAGCCAAACAACCTTTAAATCTTTCAGCAAATATTATGGCAAAAAATGTATAGTCATTGTTAAGGAGTGTGATGGGTTGCCAATTAGTTGGTAAGATCTTTAGGAATTAATGTTATGATACCTTGCATCAACATAGGAGGTAAAGCTTCTTTTTCAATACTTTCTCTAAAAACATGAGTTAAAAAGGGAGTAAGTTCAGCAGCAAATAGTTTGTACAACTAAGCAGTAAGTCCATCACACCCTGGGGACTTATTGTTTCTCAAACTCTTTATTGCTCTTTGCACTTCCTCAGGAGTAACAATGCTATCACAAAAATTTCTAACACTTTCATATATAACCTTAACATAATTGACTGAGTCTAGAAATGAGGATGTTATCTGCTCTGAATACCTTGAACTACAGAGATTTTTATAAAAACTGGCACTGTAGTTTGCTATTTCCTTTGGATCTTTAAAAATTTTGCCATCAACACATATTTGCTCAATTGTTGAGAGGGTAAAATTACGCTTTTCAAGTTTGAAAAAAAAAATTGCAGAATTGAGTTCTCCCTCTTCAAGCCATTTTTTCCTGGATCTTATATAAGCACCCCTAGCCTTCGATAAGTATAACTCATCCAATTTCATTTGCAAAGCTGCAATTTCAGATTTTTCCTCCAGAGACATCCAATCAAAATTACTAGTTTGAGAATTTCTTCCAAGAACCGTTCTTTTTTGGCCAAAAGTGTTCCAACTTTTCTTAACGTCCTGAGACCCTGCATCCTCATATGAGGACATTATATTTTAGTGAATTTCTCTGAGACTATACATGCCAGTTTTAAGTCTGGATGTCCTGTACAGAGCACATTCAGGGCTTTTCAGAGATACTAAATGTTTGGATGTTTCACTATGACCACTCCCTCTCCTTGGTCTTCAAAAATTTCTGATTTTAATTTAGTGAAACTCTTATGGAAATATGATAATCTTTCTAAAATAATGTGGTTAATCACAGTTCTTTCATGATTTAAGAGGAGGGGCAAATAATTTTTCACGTAGGGAGGTAGGTTTGGACAGCTTTTTTCCCTTAATAAATGAAATCATAATTTCAAAACTGCAGTTTGTATTTACTCAGGTTATCTTTGTGTAATATTAAAATTTGTTTGATGATCTGAATCTTTTAAGTGTGACAAATATGCAAACAATTAAAAAAACAGGAAGGGGGCAAAAACTTTTTCACACCACTGTATATAATGAGAAACCCTGTTTATGGACATTTTACACACATTTTGCATAAAGAAAAATGGTATATCAAATCATTCTGTTATAACATAGTTGAGAATCATCTTTATACAAAGTTTGGTAAAAAAAAAAAAATCCTGAAAAATAAAAATGTATTGGCGATTTTAAAAAATCAATTGTTTTTGCCAATGCATGTTCATTCATGTGTGTGTTTTTTTTTTAAATTGAGTCCTGATGTCCTCTACAAATGACGTAGCATAACTTATGAATTAAATATCATTTAAAATTTTTTTTTTAATGCTCTAAACAATGTAACGACACGAAAAAAAACCTAATTTTTTCCTAAAACATTTTGCCGAGTCTCAGGAGGTTAAATAATCACCAATCTCAAACTTAAGAAGCTCCCAAATGAAACAAAATGAATTTTGAATTGTGGCTGCTTTCCAATAGTTAACAATTAATTCTTTAATTTTATCTTTTACATCTGCTAATTCTAACAGCGAACTGTTAAGTTTCCACAAAGATGCTCTGCATTGGCCTACTACATAATCTGCCATTAAAGGGGTCATATGATGCGATTTCAATTTTTCCTTTCTCTTTGGAGTGTTACAAGCTCTTGGTGCATAAAGAAGATCTGTAAAGTTGCAAAGACTAAAGTCTCAAATCCAAAGAGATATTCTTTTTAAAAGTTAAGAGTCAACCACGCCTACCTAAAACGGCTCGTTCTAACACACCCCCACATACCTACGTCACGATCTCGGAAGATTTGCATAACGCCGCCCAAACGTTCACGCAAAGAAAGAAGGCGTAACTTTTATTCTCGCTGTAGTATTGTTGCTGCCGCCATGTCGTGAAGACGCTGTGTGTTTCGTTATGAAAGCAAAACTACTTTGTTTGGCCTTCCAAAAGAGGACGATATCCGCTTCGTCATGCCTAGAGCTGGTCCGTGTTGGTCGCTGAGAAAATACATCAACTTCGCGCTGTGGATCGTCGGATTGGCTTTCACCGTGGAAGAAACTGAGTCCAGCCCGGGGTCGTCACATGTGGTTGCCGCAAGCCCGCTCCTTCGTCGAATCTGCCGACCTCCGCTCATTCGACCCCGCCGACCGCCGCTCACTCAAACCCGCAGTGTGTGACGCTGCATCCCATAGAGTAGACTACAATGCCAGCTGTTCTGACTCACAGACTGTAAGTACGTTTTTTACATATAAAGAATTTGCCACTACACTGCTCAAAACTCGTGTTCGAATCCGCATAAACATTTAATTACACCAAATACACCAAATAATGTTCTTTTTAGCAACATCATATGACCCCTTTAATAAAAGTAGTTTTGTGGTCCGTAGGGCTGCCCTCGACTAAGGATTTTTCTGGTCGACTATAGTCGTTCATTTTAAGCATTAGTCGACTAATTGCACGTTTATTAATAAACCATTTAAATCATTATAATGAGCCTTTAATTGCCTACATAGCTTAATAAGCGCTCAAGCACACGCATAAAGCTTGCCACAGCGCACCGGCAAAGGTAATGATTATGAATGTGTCAGTGAAAAACAGTAAGGAGACTGCATTAACATTTAAATAATTTGATAATGTTTATCAAATTATTAATAGTGATAGTGCTTTCTTTGTTTTCTCCAGGTTAACATCAGATTGAGCGGCCCTGTAAAGTTGCTTATACTATGGCGGTAAAGTTAGTTTGACGTTTGACATTCATTTTTTTGCCAATTAAACTCTTTGTGGCTGTTGTTTTGAGCCCAAACTAACTCAGACAGACATAAATATATGCCAGCATGCTCGTTTTTTCAGACGCTTGCAGAAAAAGGCTTACCGGTTAATCTTTTTCAAGTTTCCATGGTTGGTAGATGCACCGGGGACCAGATTATAGCACTTAAAACCTGGAAAAGTCCGATTTTCATATCACCTTTAACTTAAATATTTTTGCCCTTCCAAAATTTTGTTAATTTGATTTTTTTTTTGGAGTCCCACTAACTTGCAAGATATGTTTGAAGAGTTTCTAAAACTTTTCTAATCAAATGAGGTTAATTCAATTAACTTAATTGGTGTATAGTAAAGTGATTTTTGTATATTCCTGTAATTAAATTTGTTTATTGAATTCATTTGGATTAACAGTTCGATTTCCTTGTTTGAACAGAAGAGAACATTCATTCAGTACTTTATTTAGCAGACATCTGGATGAATTGAGACATACATTGCTGTGCTTAATACTATACATAAAAACAAATCAATACCTGAACACCACAACACATCTCAGGACTGCACATCTGTAAATAACTTTCATCTGTAAATAGCACATATGTACATTCACAATTCTGTCTATTGACATTTTATTTTTCTCTATATTTTATTACTATATTGTTATTTGTAATTTATTGTCTATTCTCTTTATTATTAGTGTTTTTATTACCTTAAAGGGGTCATATGATGCGATTTCAAGTTTCAAGCTCCATTTCGTTTAGATGTTAATGAGCTCTGCTGACCCCGCCCCTCTCTTCCGAGCTGCTCTCAGAGAGACCGTTTACTTTAGCCGCATTCATCGTAAAACTTGCTAATTAGCAGATTATTAGGAAAGGCGATTTGAATAGATTCATTACAAAACATTATACTCACTTCTTCTGTAGATGAGGCTGGATCATGAATGATTCGCGCGAACATAGACGCATATATGTAGATCGGGGGTGCATTCCCTTCAGAAACAATGTAATCCACTGCCAGTTCAACGGCTCAGATGTCGGGAGTAAATGACAACTGCTATGTTCATTATTACATCCAACAACAAAACACCTCAATCGCTTAG